TATATGTGCTTATATACGATACAAGGGGCTCTGGTAGGGCTGTGGATTAGGCAGTGGGCTGCTAGCCACACAATTGGGAGTTCAAGCCTATAAGCTGCTCCTTGAGAAAAGGATGAGGCTGTGGGCTCCCTTGTGGATGTACGGTCTCACAAACCCTATGTAGTGTCACTAAGAATCAGAAGCCATTCATTGGCAGTAGGTGGGAATGTGGACATTAGTATCTCCATTTTGTATATGAAGATGTTCAGAATTAGATGAATTAAACCCAATGGCCACCAACCGATAGTAGACAGCACAGCACCTTGTGATGAGTGTGGACAGTGGCTTGCATCCCTACCTCACTTCTGCCACTGACTAACTGGTGACTTTGGGCAAGTTAATGTTGCTGTCCCTCAGTTTCCTGCTGTGTGAGTATTGATAAAAACAGAATCGTTAAAAGAATTCAGTAACTTCAAACACGGTGAACACTGCCAACAATGCCAGCCATGTATAAACAGAATGGAATATTGGCTAATAATGGAATATTATCTTTTACTGCTTTCCAGGGGTAGAAGTGTGATCAAAAGCAGCTTTGTCCAATACTCTTTCGACAACACCACTCACCGGACACCCATGGTATCTCTGAAACTGTGTGTGATTTTCTGTGGTATGTAATAGGAGTAAGAAATAGGTCTTACTCTCCAGGAGCTCATGGACTATAGACTAATAGAGAAGATTAAAAACGTGCAAGGAAGCTGCAATATTGAGTGAAAAGGAAAAAGCGGTTGTCATTGTGTTGTCCCCAACTCATGGTGGTAGATCACCAGGCTTGTCTTCTGAGAGATCTGTGTGTGAACTTGAACTTCCCACCTTTTGATTGGTAGCTGAAGGTGTTCACTGCTTGCACCGGCCAGAGCCTACAGAATACATGGTGGAAGATATACATGACCTGAGGACGGGAGGAACTTATGAAGTGCTGGAAGAGTTCAGATTAGGGCAAGATTCCTTCAACTTGGAGTCAAGCAGAAAGGGATTCTTGGAGGCAGTGGTATTTGAGTTGGATCTTTAAAATGCAGAGGGCCAGGCTGGGGTTAGGGTGTTTATTGCCCCAAATGAGGGTAAGCTCGCGGCATGGTTAGCAACGCCCTGCAATGAAGTGCAGTTGGTTTGGGGCAAGGGCATGGGCTATTGGGCTGCACAGTCGGAATGGGCTGGCTCATGAGGACCCAAGTTTGTTTATCAAAGGGCAGACAGACCACAGTGCTGCTGTCAATGGCTGCGCAAAGGAGCCCTCCTGCACAACATGAGGCTGAAATCCCCCCCTCTCTCCACCATCAAGTCATGCTTCCTATACCCATAGCACGGATGCCCTTTGTTACTTTACACAAAGCCTTGTCACTGGCTTGTCCCCTGAGCAGAGTTTCTCATCACTGGCAGTCCACAGTGTCACCAGCCCTGTTCTTCGAGCTCTGGTTTCTTTCCATAGGCCCCGAAGCAGATCACAGCCTTCTCTCCTGCCCCAGGCCCAGGAATCGGTCCTCTCCCTCTCCTTCTCCTGCACCACAAATGACAGCTCTGTCCCACTGCCCAGGTCATTTCCATGCAGGTTCTCATTGCCGATGAGCCCTGGATGTCTGTGTCAAGGCAGAAAGGTCTGCAGGATCACCTCCCTAAGGCCTTGGCTTGTGTTTGTTCGGTTAAAAGTGCCCAATGCCGGTATTTTCCGTGATGGACCCCAACATTGGCCCTGCCCCCCTGAGACCCAACAGCCAGGCACCGCCTTGGCTGCCATCTCCTCGGAAGCTTGGCTCTCTTAAATTGAGTTACTCGTTGCTCCTAACATTGCCGTCATCATTTCCTTCTGCAGCCTATTAAAACTCTATCCCTGACTAATGTAGCTGAACACAGTGCTCCCACCCTGTTCTTCTGCCTGCAGCTGTTGCGCGCGCGCACACACACACACACACACACACACACACAATCAGCTTTGTCAGGCAGGCTTCTCTGTCCCTCTCAGTCCCTCTCATCCTCTCTCTTAGAGGCCACCCAGTAATTGTTCTCGCCAAATATTCCCCAAAGCTTCCTGTGCCCTTGAGCTGTCCTCAGCCTGGATTCCAGGACTCTGGGGCAGGCTGTTTGTCTCTGAGCCTGGCAGGCAGCAAGGTCCTCTCCTGGCCCAGCTGCCATCTCCACCAGCCCATATGGGCAAACAATATGCTTTCTATAGCAGCATTGGTAGGTTCCCTCCAACGCAAAGTACCGCTTCTCCAGCCTCGTTTGTGTGGGAGATGGGAACAAATCAGACAGTTTGTTGACACGCTCAACACATGTGTTTTGGCACCAGTCCAGGCTGAATGTATTCTGGATGTGTGTTAAATATGTTTTCAATCTTCAGCCTTCACGTCATGTCTATGTATGTGTACACACGCATACTGATAGGATAAAGCTATGTAAGTATAAGAGCTACAGCATTTCAAAGAAAGTCGGCAGTCAGCTTCATTATAGATACAGTCTTTTCAATCTGCTGCCTGTTTTTTGGGTTTTCTTAGACTTCTCCATGAGTAAATGGCTGGGGTGCTGGCCACGGACCCTGGCGAGAAAGGTCAGACCTGTTGTCCCCTGATCACATGGGAAGGGCACATTTTGCAAAATTTGGGGAACAGAGGGCTAGATAGCTCCTCTCCAAAAAGGATCTTTTTCCGTGGCTGCTTTCTCTTTTATATTTAAATATGTCTCATCTGAAGATAGAGGCTGACTAATGTCCACAGCAGGAAATAAGAACAAGCACATTTGTCAATTAGAATCTTGTTTGTGCTTCTGTGGCCCAGGTCAATCATTTTACTAATTAGTTAATTCATTCCTTCATTGATTTATTCACATATTCATTCATTCGATATGAATTTATTTTAAAAAAAATAACACCTCCCCCCATTATAGTACTAATGCATATTCATGGCTGAAATTGGGGAAATACATTAAAATACAAAGAAAGAATGAAAATCAACTTATTTTCTCTCTACCAAAGGTAGAGACCGGTAATACATCAGTGCATTCTCTTTCATGAAGATGTCCCAGGTGTGGTTGGGCCTGTTGGGTAGCCTGGTGTCTTACCCTTGAACTTACCTGGCTGTAAGTCACCTCCCCTCAGAGCAGTGCTGCTTTTACCCAGTATGTGAGAAAAAGCAATCGTCTGCTGAAGGTTGCAGGGGAGGCAGAGCAGAAGGACAGGGTGCAGACTGCATGCATCTATAAGACATCCTCATTAGATATCAGGTGGTTTAGGATGCCCCAATGCCTACCCATTGCCTCAGCTCCTTAACTGTCATTCCTCTTGCCCTCTCCACCCTTTCTCCTCGCCCTGTACCCACATGACTTTTCCCTCGGTCAACACAGGACTTGTCTTAGCATCTCTCGCTTTGCAAGTCAGCAGGAAGCTGTAAGAAGCATACATTTTTCCTTGTAATAAATATGTTTTTCTGTCTCATTTAGATACATATACATTTTTGCATGGACATTTATAGTGACTATACATAGCCACACACTTATTATATTGGCATTTTATTAACCTGAGATATTGTAACTACTATTTTTAAAAGCCCCCCTGGTGGCACCATGTTTAAGCTCTGGGCTGCTAACCTTTCAAATCTACCTACCAGTGACTCTGTGAGAAAAAGAGCTGGCAATTTGCTCTTATAACAATTGGTGCCAAGAAAATCCTAAGGAGCCCCTCTACTCTGTCACATGGGGCCGAGGTTAAAGTATCAGTTCCAATTGACCTGATAGCACCCAACAACAGTAGCAGTCATTTTAAAACTGTGTACCCCCCACCCCTACATAAAATATATTTTCTTTCCACTAGATGTTCTTTTAAAGCAGTGTTTCCCAATGTGAATGATACTGACCCCACCCACCCACCCTGGGGGAGGGGTGGCAATGGAACCATCCAGGGGGATTGCAAAAGCAGATGCTCACACTTTAGCCTGGATTACGGCCTATAGTTCAAAAGTTTTTAATCTCCAGGGTGCTGAGTAAATTTTATTTATTTCTTTGGAAAAGGGGTGGCTGGTAGGCCCCACCAATTTAGGAATCTATGTTTTAAGGCACAGGGCTGCTAACCAAAAGGTCAGCAGTTCAAGCCCACCAGCTGCTATGTGGAAGAAAGATGAGGCTGTCTGCCTCCATAGGTGTTCGAAGTCTCAGAAACTCTATGTGTGGAGTTGCTATGAGGCACAATGACTCAGTGGCAGTGGGTGATTTCATAGTTGTAGAGTATGACCTTTTTGTTTATTTGAGATGAACTTGTCCGTCTCAATTTTACTTTTCCTCTTCCTCTCTCTTTCTTTTCTCTTAAGCCACTCAGCACGACTTAGGTTTGAGGGATAAGGAAGCTGGAGGCATTTTTAAAAGTTTTTTAAAGAAAAAAATATATATATATATATACATACACACAGTGTATCTCCAGAAATGAGATCAACAACAATATCTTATTAAACCCTCCATATGCATTTTTAGTAGTATAGTATTTTTTATGTATATGTATTTCATTATATAAGGTGTATTATATGATGTATATATACCTATCTTACCAGGACTCTAATGTTGGATGTTTAGATGGTTAACAATTTTTACAATTATGTGGAAGGCTTTGATAACCATCCTCTACATTTCCAATTATTTTCTTAGAGTACATTTCTAAACTTGGAGTTTCTCAGTTATTTCAGAGAAACACTTTGGAATTTGATATAAACTTGAAGCCCTCCATAAGAGGTGGAATATCAAATAGTTATTAGGCACTTGTTGGGTACCAGGCACTATGGCAGCTGCGTGGAATTCGAAAACATGTAAAACATATTCTCTGATATTTATTTCTTTTCCGGCAGGCCTGAGCCATCTTTTTTCTGCAGAGGGACAGCGACCACAAATCTAGACACCATGTCCAGGCAGGTGTGAGCAGGTCCAGGCAGGGGGCAGCGCCTCGGGTGGGTGAGGGGCAGATGGGCTGAGAGGCAGGGTCCTCCCCTCTAGTGCTGGCTCAGAAGCCGGAGGGTTTCCTGGGAGGCGTAGACCATATAGAGGCAACCATCCTCGTTCGTCTCCGGATCATAGATGTGGGCGATGGGCGTGGACACGCTGACCGTGCTGTGCTGGTTCACGAGCAGGAAGAAAGCCTGCGTGGCGCTCAGCTGCAGGCGGCGCCGGATGATCTGGACCAGCTTGCTCGTGTTGACGTGGTCTGGGACCAGGAACTTGGTCTTATCCGGGACTGGCAGCTGCTTCTCCCGCTTGTAGCATCCGATGATCACCGGGATCTTGCTGGGGAGCTGGTCGCGGATCTGCTGCACCACTGCTGCTTGAAAGGCCGGTCCGAGGGCCTCGCGCTGGGATATAGCCTTGGCTCCGATACCTCCTCTAAACAGTCTATTTCAATTTGTATTTAAAGACATTGTGGAGACAATGCTGATCTTGACTTTAAATTTATAATTAGAATATGTATGTCACACACACATATCTACCTAATTCTTGAAGACAGCCCCAAACTTCTGTTTACAATAGTTATCAGCTTATAAAATAGGTAGGCATCTAAAGTTTTTCTAATTTTAAAGACGAACTCTACATTTTTGAAGAATAGGGTGATCATTTTTTTACGGTTTGAATTAAAAGTTATTTGAAGGTCATATTTCTGTTTTGTTCATACAGATGTTTGGATTAGAATCTTGTAGTGAATACTAAATTCTGGCTATGCAGATCTTGTCCATCAACAAGAGATGAAACTAGTGTCTTCTTTTTTTTTAAATCATTTTATTAGGGGCTCATACAACTCTTATCACAAACCATACACACATCAATTGTGTAAAGCACATGAAACTAGGGTCTTTGCTGGGAAAATTTCTGCTGCCCCAGTCTGTCATTACTATCAGCTTCTATCTTGTTTTAAGCGTATTGTCCATTTACCTCAGATGAAAGTATGTCTTAGCATTCTTACAGTGGTGAAATGATGTACAAGCAACAAATTTGGATTATATATGTGGTAGTAGACTATATTATTTCTGTGATGGCTAATGTTATATGTCCACTTGGCTGGGCTATGATCCAAGTGTTGTGTAGTTCTCCATCTGGTGATATGACATAATTCTCCTCCATCTGGTGATACTCTGTAGTTACTCTCCTGTCTATGTACTGTGCATTCTAATCTCATTGTGCCCTGGTGGCATTGTGGTTAAGCATTGGGCTGCTAACTGCAAGGTCAGCAGTTCAAAACCACCAGCCACACCATGGGAGAAAGAGGAGGCTTTCTATTCCTGTAAAGGGTTACAGTCTTGGAAACTCACTGGGGCAGTTTTACCCCGTCTTATGGGGTCGCTGAGTTGGCATTGACTTGATGGCAGAGGGTACATGCTAGTGAGGTAGAATTAGTGCGGGTTGTACCTTGAGTCACAATATTGCAAGAGGGTGTGACTCGAGTGTCACCCTTGTTCAGTCACACTCGAAGTCTGTCCTCAAGGGTCGGACCTGTATCTGATATAGGTATGGATGCTCTGACAAGGCTCTCCCTTGCTTCAGATACTGCATCCAACTTGTCATCATCTGACTTCCAATTCTTGAGACTTTTTTTTCTATCTAACTATATATATATAAAAATATTTAATATCACCATCGGTATAAAGAACAATGAAGATGAAGAAACATGGTATATATAGCAATAGACAAGGCTATCTGTTTTTCTATCCATCCACACATAAAACTTCACTGGTTTTGCTTCTCTATAGGACCTAGCCTAAGATGTACTATAGCGAAACAATGGCTGGGAATTCATAACCCAACCTTACTGAGTCACCGATGATTTTTCAGTGCACTGTGATGGTTGGATGTTGCTGTGATGCTAGAAGCTATGCCATCACTGTCTGAAATACTAGCAGGGTCACCCAGGCGAGACTGACTTCACTGGAGATTCTGCACTAAAACAGACCAGATAAAAACACCCTGGTGACCTACTTTGGGGGGGAAAGTGACAAGGAAGCTATTACGGATAGTGAGAGAACTTGTTTGACATAGTTCTAGAAAATAAACTTCCTCAGATTAGAAGGAACTCAAAACACAGTTGGAGAAGAGCTGCCTCTTTAAAGTAGAGGTGACCCTAATGATGTGCATGGAATAAAGCTTTGGGGACCTTTTTTTAAAATAATGTAGCATGACCGAAAATGAGAAGACACAACTGCAAACACCCATGAGTAATCAAAATGTGGAATGTATCAGGTATGAATCATTGGAAATCATCAAATATAAAATGGAACACTTAAAGAACTCAATATTCTAGGCATTAGTGAGCTGAAATGGACTACTTTTGGCCATGGTGAAGGTGGCAATCAGAGGGATAGTATGCCAGAAGTGACTAATTGAAAAGGAATGATAACACATTCATTCTAAAAAATGACATTTTAATATCTACCTTGAACTACAACACTACCTGTGATAGGATGATATTTATATGCCTACTTGGAAGACCAAGGGATAAGACTATTATTCAAATTTACTTACCAACCACTAATCCAAAGAAAAAACTGAATATTTATACTAACTTCTAAAGTCTGAAATTGATTGGACTTGCAATCAAGATGCGTAGGTAATGACTGGTGATTGGAATAAAAAAATTGGAACCAATGAAAAAGGATTAGAAGATAGGGAGAAAAAAATGGCCATGGTGATAGAAATGATGCCACAGATGACATGATAAAATTTTGTAAAACCAATGACTTATTTATTGTAAATCCTGTTTTTCACTACCACTTGTCTGTCAGTTTGTCATAGTGGCTTGTGTGAGCCTGTGATGCTAGAAGCAATGTCACTGGTCTCTCAGATACGAGCAGAGTCGCCCAATGTGAAAAGGTTTCATCAGAGCTTAGAGTAAGAACAGGTCCCAAAGGACTAGACTGTCCACTTTGGAGGAATTGGCCACTGAAAACTACAGAGCATTGTCCGAGAGAGGGACAGAAGATGACCCCGTCAGGTCAGAAGGCACTCAAAATACGACTGAGGAAGAGCTGTCTCCTCAAAGTAGAGTCAGTCGTAATGACTGGTTAATAGGGCGTGTCTCAGAATGAGCAGGAATGCCGCAAACATCTATTAACAATTGGAACTTGGAAGATATGAACCTAGGAAACGTGGAAGTAATCAAAAATGAAATGACCACATAAAGATGACTATCCTAGGCATTAGTGCACTAAATGGGAGCCCTGGTGGCATAGTGGTCATGTATAGGCTTGCAATCCACAAGCAGTTCAAAACGACTAGTTGCTCCTTGGGAGAAAGATAGGGCTTTCTCATCCAATAAAGAATTACAGTCTCAGACACTCACTCGGGCAGTTCTCCTTTGTCCTATAGGGTCATTATGACTTGTCATTGATTCAGGCAGTGAGGTTTTTAAATTTAATTTTATTGTTTTGGTGTGCTGAAATGAGCTGGTATCGACCATTTTGAATCAGACAGTCATATGGTTTACTATGTTGGGAATGACAGCTTCATGGGAATAGCACTGCATTCATCATCAAAAACACACTTTAAGATCTATCTTGAAGTACAGAGTGCTATCTGTGGTAGGATTATCTCTGTCCACATAAAAGAAAATCCACTCAATGCAACTATCATTCATATTTATGCATCAACCACCAAATTAGTGATGAAGAAATTGAAGAATACTACTAAAGTCTTTAGTCTGATATTGACCAAACATGCACTCAAGATGCATTATAATTTTTGGAGATTGAAATGCAAAGGCTGGAAACAAACAGGAAGGAGCAGTAGTTGGAAAATATCGTTTCGGTGATGAACACAAAGCTGGAGATCACCTGATAGACTTTTACAAGACCAACAACTTCTTCATGGGAGATATCTGCCTTCAACAACACAAATAATGACTATCCACGTGGATTTCTCCAGATGGAATCTATAGCATTCAAATTGACTACATCTGTGGGAAGAAATGATGGAGAAGCTCCATATCAGCAGCTGAAATGAGGCCAAGGGCTGACTGGAACAGACTGCCAATTGCTCACATATAAGTTTAGATTGACACTGAAGAAAATGAAAACAAGTCCCCAAGAGCCAAAATCTGCCATTGAGTCCATCTGAATTTTGAGAATATTTCAAGAACGTAGTTGATGCAGTGAACACTAATGACAGAAAACCTGATGAACTATAAGAGGACTGAGGGACATCATCCATGAAGAAAGCAAAAGGGTATTAACAAGACAGGGAAGAACGAAAAGATCAAAGTGGATGTCAGAAGAGACTCTAAAACGTGCTCTTAAACATAGAGTAGCTAGGGCAAATGGAAGAGATTATGAAGTCAAGGGCTGAACAGAACATTTCAAAGGACAACTCAAGAAGACAAAATCAAGTATTATAATGAACTGTGAAAAGACCTAGAGTTAGAAAACCAAAAATAAAGGACACACTCAGCATATCTTACATGCAAAGAACTCAAGAAAAAAGTCAAGCCTCAAGTTGCAATACTGAAAGTTTCTATGGGCAAGATATTGAATGATGCAGGAAGCATCGAACGAAGATGGAAAGAATACAGAGTCACTGTACCAAAAAGAACTAGTGAACATTCCACCATTTCAAGAGGTAGCACATGACCAAGAATCAATTATACTGAAGGAAGAAATTCAAATTGCACTGAAGCTATTAGCCAAAACCAAGGCTCCAGAAATTGATGGAATACCAATGGAAATGTTTCAACAAGCTGATGAAGCATTGAAAACACTAAACTTGTCTATACCAAGAAATTTGGAAGCCAGCTACCTGGCCAACTGATTGGAAAAGCTTCATATTTGTAGCCATTCCAAAGAAAGGTGACCCAATGGAATGCCCAAATTGTAGAACAATATCATTGCTATGACATGCAAGTAAAATTTTGCTGAAAATCATCTAACAATGGTTCCAACAGTACATTGACAAGAAGCTACCAGAAATTCAGGCTGGATTCAGAACAGGACAGGGAACAAGAGATATCATTTCTGATGTCACATGGATCTTGGCCGTAAGCAGAGAATACCAGAAAGATGGTTACTTGTGTTTTATTGACCATAACAAGGCATTAGAATATGTAGATCATAACAAACTATGAATAGCCTTGAGAATAGAGGGAATTCTAGAACACTTCATTGTGCTTGTGTGGAACTTGTACAAATGAAGAGGCAGTTGTGAGAACAGAACAAGAGAAGAGTGCATGGTTAAAAACCAAGAAAGTTGAGCTTCAGCGTTGTGTCTTCTCATCGTACTTATTCAATCTGTGTGCTGAGCAAATCATCAGAGAAGCTGGATTATATGAAGAAGAAAATATGGTATTATTTTGGAGAAAGGCTTATTAACAATTTATAATATGCACACGACACAGCCTTGCTTGCATGAAGGAAGGAAGACTTGAAGCACTTGTTGATGAAGATCAAGGACTGCAGTCTTCAGTATGGACTACAACTCCATGCAATGAGAATGAAAATCCTTATAACTGAACCAGTGGGTAACGTGATACATGAGGAAAAGGGTGAAGTTGTCAAGGATTTTGTCTTGCTTGGATCCACAATGAATGCTCATGGAAGCAGTAGTCAAGAGATCAAAGGACACATTGCAGTGGGTAAATTTGCTGCACAAGACCACTTTAAAGGGTTGAAAAGCAAATATGTTAATTTGAGGACTAAAGCACACCGGATCCAAGCCATGGTATCTTCAAATCACTTAATATGAATGCTGGACAGTGAATAAGGGAGACCAGGGAACAATCGATGCATGTGAATTATGTTGCCGAAGAAGAATGATGAAAGTAATACGGGCTGGCAAAAAACAAACAAAACAGTCGTGGAAGAAGTACAGGTAGGGTACTCCTTAGAGGTAAGGATGATGAGACTTTGACATGTTTTTAGGAGAGACCAGTCCCTGGAAAAGGACAGTCCGCTTGTTAAAGTAGGGGCAGCAAAAAAGATGGCTTGACCCAGCGGCTGCAGCGATAGGTTCAAACAATTGTGAGGATGGCGCGGTGCTTTGTTCTGTTGTCTATAGGAGCACTCTGATTCGACTCTGTTGTCTATAGGGTCACTCTGGGTCAGAACTGATTCGACAGCACCTGACAACCTTTTTAAAAAACAACAATATAAATGGAATCTATGCACTGAGACCATGCCAAATGGAATTCATAAGAATCAAATCTTTGGAAAGGACAATGCAGAAATTGAGTATAATTAGAACAAGGTCAGAGACTGATTGTAAAATCGATTGTTCATATGCAAGTTCAAATTGAAAATGAAGAAAACTTAAGCAAGTCTCTGAGAGTCAATGTACAATTTTGAGCATACCTGGTTGAATTTAGAGATCATCAAAGAATATATTTGACACATTACACACTAATGACCAAAACCCAGAAAAGTTGTATGATGATATCAACTATGGAAAAAACAAAAGGCCCTTAAAAAGAAAAAGAAAAAAATAGACCAAAATGGATGTCAGAAGAGATTCTGCAATTTGCTCTTGAATATAGAGTAATTAAATTAAACAGAAGAATTGATGAAGAGTTGAACAAAAGATTTCAAAGAGCAACTCAAGAAGATAAATAAAGCCTATCAATGAAATGTGCAAAGACCTGGTGTTAGAAAGCCAAAAGAACAAGCTTAGCATTTCTCAAACTGAAAGAACTGAAGAAAAAAAAAAATCTAGTCTCCAGTTACATCGTTGAAAGTTTATGTTAAAAAAAAGAAAGAAAGAACAATGTAGGAAGCATCCCAGCAAGATGGAAAACAAAACAAAACAAAACAAAACACAGCAACTGTACCAAAATGAGTTAGTCAACCTTCCATCATTTCAGGAAGTAGCATGTAATAAACAAACAAGCTATGGTGCTGAAAGAATATGTCCAAGCTACGTTGAGGCATTGGCAAGAAGCAAGACCTTAGCAATTGACAAACTACCAAGTAAGATATTTTAACAAACAGATGCAACTCTGGGCATGATCATTCATCTATGTGAAGAAATTTGGAAGACAGCTACCTAGCCAACTGATTGACAAGGATCCATATTTGTGCCCATTCCAAAGAAAAGTGATCCAATGGTATGCATAATTATAAAAAAAACTATCATTAATAACACACACAAGTGAAAGTTTGCTGAAGATAATTCAAATATGGTTACAGTTGTATGCCAACAAGTAACTGCCAAAAATTCAAGCTGGATTCAGAAGAGGATGTGGAACAAGGGATATCCTTGCTGATGACAGATGTACATTGGCTGAAAGTACAGAATACCAGAAAGATGTTCATTTGTTTTATTATCTATGCAAAGACTGTGTGGGTCATAACATACTATGGATACGATTATGAAAAATGTGAATTCTAGCCCACTTCATTGTGCTCATGTGGAACCTAGTCCAAAAGGAAGATTTCCAAGCAGAACAGGGGGATGCTAACTACATGGTTTAAAATCAGGAAGGCATTATATCTTTTCATTATACTAATGGAATCTGCATGCTGAGCAAACCATTCCAAGAAGCTGCTCTGTATGAGAAAGAATGCAGCATCAGGCTTGAAGGAAGAGTCATTAACATCCTTGCTTGCTGAAAGTGACAGGGACTAAAAGCATGTATTGGTGACCATGAAAGACTGTCGTTTTTATTATGGATTACACTTCAACGGTTACAACTGGACCAATAGGTAGCATTATGACAGAAAAACATATTTCTGAAGTTGCAAGGACTTCATTATACTTGCGTTCATAACCAAGGCCCAGGGAAGCGGCAGTGACCAAATCACACAGCTTCCTGCATTAGGCAAATCCGTTGCAAGGACCTCTTTGAAGTGTTAAAAAGCAAAGCTGCATACACATCCCCCAACCGACCAATGAGTAAAGAAGACTGGGAAAGTGACGCATTTGAATCGAGGTGTTTCTGACGAATATTGAACAGATGGTGGACTGCCAGAAGAATGTCCAAAGCGGTCTTGGAAGAAGGACAGCCATAGCCCCCTTTAGAAGGGAGGTTGGCAACACTTCATCTCATGTACTTTGGACACGTTACTTGGCATGTTATTGGACACCAGCGTCCGGAGCAGGGCATCATGCCTGGTGGAAGGCTGATGTAAAAGAAGACCCAGAGCTGTAACCCTGGGCTCAAGTGTAGTAAGAACTGTGACCATGTTATAGGACAATCAATGCTTATGGAAGGAGTAGCCAAGAGATCAAACAAGGCATGGTATTGGGTGAGTATACTGCACAAGTGCTCTTTAAAGCGTCAAAAAGCAAGGATGTTACTTTGAGGACTGAGGTGCACCTGACCCAAGCCATGGAACATTCAATCGCCAGTGGCACCTCAAATCGCAGAAAGCAGAATGACAGTAATAAATTAATGTTGTTGTTGTTCGGTGTCATTGAGTGGGCTTCAACTCCTAGCGACTCTGCACAAGAGAACTAAGCACTGTCTGGTCCTGCGCCATCTTCTCAATGGATTTTTGGTTTAAGCCCATCTATGTAGTCACTGTGTCCATCCATTTTGCCAAAGGCCTTCTTCGTATTCACTGGCCCTCCACTCTACCAAGCATTATGTCCTTATTGAGCAAATACAATGTGCCAGATAGCCTATTCAATGCTGGGAACCCAGTGGATTACGAATTTCTAGTACTGAGTCAACAGACATGGGCCTTGCCCCTTTGAAGGAGACAGGCAGTAAATGAGCAGAGAAAAAAAATGAAGTGGTAAAATGCCATGAAGTAATGGTACCGCCTGGAGTTGTGGAAGACACTGGCAGATGAGAAGATACCTGCTTAGATAAAATTGTCAAGGAGGGTTTCGATGATCAGATAAAACTTAAGCTGAGACCTGAAGGTCAGAAAGGAGCCAACCTGTGGAGAAGTAT